GGGCCAGCTGAAGTAGGTGCTTAAGAGCTGGGGTGCTGGGTTCAGGCTGCAGCAGATTCAAGGTCGGACTCTGAGATACCTTTCTTCCATCTCTTTGAGTCTTGTTGCCTGGTGTGTGACCTAGAGGGATCAAAGGTAACAAGCTCAGAGCTGTTAGTGGGATGATGCACGTATCTTGTTTGTCATAGTCTAGCAAACAGCAATGGCCCAGTAAATACTGGTTATTGTAACTATGGAGCTCTGAGGCAATGTTGCCCAACACATGAAAGAGGCTTCCTAAGTGAATCTTGGCACTGGTAACCACCTCTAGGAGGTTGGTGCCCTGGGGTCTTGATGAGGGGAAAAGAGAGGGGCTGATGCATGAAAATGCTCCAGCTTGGCCTCCCTCCAGCCATCTGGCTTCCGTTGCATCCCAGCCTGACCAACCACGTTGGCTCAGGGGAATGAAGAGATGGCCCTCCAGGCCTGGGAAGATCTCCAGCTGCAGATGGAAGAGGAAGGAAGGAGATTCTAAATCCTTCAGAACCCTTCTTTGAGGAATCATGACACATCAAGACTATGGAGTTGGAAACTGATATTCAGATTTCAATTCCATCATTTGTATCTTGTATAACCTTGAGAAACGGAGATACGCACCCCTAACTTGGGAATAACCGTAGGGATTAACTGAGATCATATATGGTATAGCTCCTAAGAAATGTTTCCTTTTAATTCCCATATTTTATTTATTTTTTAAAGTGTATTTATTTTTTAAAGTTTATTTCTTTTGAGGCAGAAAGAGAGAGAGAGAGATAGAGTGAGCAGGGGAGGGGCAGAGAGAGAAGGGGAGAGAGAGAATCCCAAGCAAGCTCTGGACCATCAGCACAGAGCCTGAATGCAGGGCTAAAACCCACAAACTGTGAGATCATGACCTGAGCTGAAATGAAGAGTCAGCGTTTAACTGACTGAGCCACCCAGGTGACCCTATATATATATATATATATATATATATATATACATTTTTTTTTTTAAATTTCTACACCCCTCCAATGTGGAACTCAAACTCACAACTCTGAGATCAAGACTCACATGCTCAGCTAACCAGGTGCCCCCCCCCCGGAAATGTTTAATAAATTTTAGTTTCCTTTTATTTGCAGGATAGCTCCATGAAATCTCTGTCTCATTCTCTGTTGTGTCTTTGTTTCACTCTGTACAGAATCAATTGCCAAGCTTCTAAAGCAAAGATCCCATTACCTTCTGTGTCAAGCCGTGCTCCACCCAAAATTGCATGGATACACACACACACACACACACACACACACACACACGACACTTTTAACAGGAAATTTACTTCCAGTCAGAGAAAGACAAATACCATATGATTTCACTCATATGTGGAGTTTAAGAAACACGACTGATGAACATGGGGGGAGGGAAGGAAAAATAAGATAAAAACAGAGAAGACAAACCAGAAGAGACTCGTAAAGATAGAGAGCAAACTGAGGGCTGCTGGGGGTTTGGTGGGAGGGGGATGGGCTGAATGGGTGACAGGCATTCAGGATGGCCCTTGTTGAGATGAGTGCTGGGTGTTACATGTGAGTGATGAGTCATTAAGTTCTCCTCTTAAAACCAATTCTACACCATGTGTTAACTAACCTGAACTTAAATAAATAAATTATGCTTTAAAAAATAAAAGAAAAAAGAATAAAGAATAAAAAGGAAATTTACTTCTCATGACCAATCACCTTCCAGCAGGAACGAAGGTCCCGGCCACCCTGACGAGAACTGTGAATTCAACCCTCGTGTCCTCTTTGTCGTCTCCTCCCACCAAGTACCTGAGCCCCCTAATTGCATCCAGAGGCTTTCTTTCTGCCCAGCACTTGGACGAAAGGATGAGTCACTCCTGAGGAGGCTGCAGCTCTGCAGCTCGGTGCCATCCCAGTGGGTCCCCGTGGAAAACAGCTAGGGCCACTGCCAGAGTCACAGGTTATGCCTGTGGGATGGAAGATGGGCTTCAAACCCCAGGGATTACAGTTATTTGAACCTCTTGGTTTACAGTCCTACACGCACGATGCAAAAATCTGCCCCTAGTTCCTATCTCAGGGAGAACCCAGCCACAGCCTCTCAAATCAGTACACAGACAGCCCTGCTTGAGTCAGACCACGCACACCCATCACTCACCCAACAAACAACTTGGGGGAGCGGCTGCTATTGTCAGACACCAGGCAAGGAAGCCACGTCGGCTCTTTCTTGTCTCCCCTCCATCCCAGGGTTACTGCCCAGGCCCAGAACATCACTGTCTTCTGTCCATCCAGGGCAACAATGTCTTAACAGACCACCCGCTAAGCCACTCTCCCTCCAGGAACAGCCCATTCGACTCTGCCAGTCCAGTGTTGCTTCGTGGTGCAGCCTCATTGTTCGGGGACCCTGTTCCTACACACCGTGCTTCAGTGAAACTCCCTTCCTGTGGCTCCCCATTTTTTCTGCCCGGAATGACCATCTGACTTCCTTACCCTTCCCCTACTTGCCCGGTGAACTAGGATTTCCTGAAAGAATTACCTCAAAACTCCTGTCTTCTGGGAGCCTCCCTGAAAACCTGGCCAGAGTGAGTCATGGTGTCCTGTAGGCTGTTGTCCTTTTATCACAGTGCAGTGTAAACAAACCCTGTCCACGTTTGTTTCCCCCCCTGACTCTGAGCAACTCAAGGCCAGAAACTCTGTCTTAGTCATCTTTGTGGACACCATCTCACACTGAGGAAGGGCTCTGCTGGATGTTTGTTTGTATCTTCCCCAAACTCATATGTTGATTCCTAACTTCCAGTGTGGGGGCATTTGGAGGAGGTGATTAGATCAAGAGGGCAGAGTCCTCATGAATGGGATGAGGGCCCTTATAAAAGAGACCCCGGAGAGCTCTGTCACCCCTTCCACAATGAGAAGACACAGAGGAAAGACAGCCATCTGTGAACACGAAGAAGGCTCTCACCAGACACTGTGTATGCAGGTGCCTTCATCTGAGACTTCCCAGTCACCAAGGCTGTGAGAAAGTAAATGTCTGTTGTTTAGAAGCCAATTAGTCTATGATATTCTGTAACAGTAGCCTGAATGAACTAAGACAGGCTTAATGAAGTTTTACAGAATGTATTATTTATATAATGTTATAAAACAAAGCGCTCCAAAACTTGGGGGCCTAAAACAATACAATCATTTATTAGGACTCACAGTATCTGTGGACCAGGAATTTGGGAGTGGCTTGGCTGAGTGGTTCCAACTTGCAGGGGGCGGGGGGTCTCTTAAGAAGTTGTGGTCAAGTTTCCAGACTTGATTTCATCATCTGAAGGCTTGACCGGAGCCAGAGGAGCCACTTATAAGATGATTCATTCACATGGCTTCTAGTTGGGGGCCATGTTGATGGGGAGAGGGGGTCTTAGTTCATTTCCATGAAGCAGTGTTACCAGATATATATAAATATAAATGTGTATATGTATATATATACAACTACATAAATATAAATGTGTATATGTATATATATACATATATATAAATGTTTGTTTTTTATTTTACACGTGCACACGAACTGGGAAAGAGCAGAGAAAGAATCCCACGCAGGTTCTGTGCTATCAGTACAGAGTCTGATGCAGGGTTTGATCCCATCAACTGCAAGATCATGACCTGAGAGGAAATCAAGAGTCAGACACTCAACCGACTGAGCCACCCAGGCACCCAAATTATATTTTTATTTGTTAAATCTGTCTACCCTGACATGAGGGCCTCCCTACAGGATTGCCTAGGAGTCCTCACAACATGGGGGATGACTTCCCCTCGAGTGAGTGCTCTCAAAGCAGAAGCCGCAATACCTTTTGTGACCTAGCTTCAAAAGTCACATGCCGTCACTTTCCCCATAATCTTCTGGTTACATAGGCCAGCCCTGATTCGGTAGGAGGGTAGTACACGAGAGAGTGAATTCCAGGAAATAAGACTGAGTAGAGCCATCTTGGAGGTTGGCTTTCATATGGAGTAGATTCTCCAATGGCTGAATTCTATTCCTAGCCTCTCTATTTATTTTCAGGATGCCAGTTGAAACATCCAGTTCCCCCATCTTTGAAGTGGGAAGCATAGCCAGTCCTGCTGGGTGCTTTTCATAGACCAGATCCTTAAAGATGTGAACCAGCCACTCCTAAATGCCTGCTCTAGTGGAGGGAGGTTGAAGCTTAAGTAATCCCACAACCAAGTAGATGATCTAAAAACCCACAGCTATGTATATTGGAATTGTCAATCTAAATGCGTGCAACGTCCTTCTCAGTGCCTTTATTGCATTAATCCTTCCCTTATTAAAGACTCCCCTTTCTCCTGTCAGAAGCGATCACTCACCAAAGGAGAGCTGGCTGTATTGAAATGTATTACAAAGTATTCAGACAACAGGATGGTCCTCATCAACTTCCAGAAAATTTGATAACCCAGAATGCACTTTACCTCCACAGCACATTCAAACTACAGACTCATCTTTGATCCAACCTCAGGACATTTAGACTTGCCATGGCCTCTCCCTGGAAATTCTCCGTGACACCCACTCCCCAAGAGTCTAGCTATCTCTTCTCATTATTCAGGGCTCTGCTCAAATAGCACCTCCTCCGATAGGCCTTTCCTTACTAGCTTATGTAATATCGACCACCACCCTCCAAATCTGGTCAATTCCTATCCCTTTAACTTTCTTTGTTTTCTTCTTACCACTTGCCATTCTATGAAGTCGCACTTTTCACTGTTTATGTGTGTATGTCTGTTTCTTCCACTTAGAACGTAAGCTCCAAGAGGACAGGAGCTTTGTGTCTTGCTGTGTCCTCAACAAATTGAATGGCTTCTGGTATATATTAGACAATATACATTTGCATAATGAACAAACGAATGAGAGAATGAATGAATCCTAGCAGATATATTGTTTTATAGTAGACTTTTTTCCCTTCAAGTTTATTCATTAATTCACTCATTCATTGAACAAATATATATTATGCACCAGGTTCTATTTTATTTACAGTGTAATCAGAACAGACAAGGTCATATTCATAATCTTTTTTGAGAGGAGTTTCTCATTATAGACTTAATCGCTGCTATTTTGGGTGTATAATTGGCTGTGAGATATCACCCTTAAAATTCCTGGAAGCTCTCCTGTCTAGTTGAGTGGACTTATCAGGAACTACCTTAATTCTATCAGCATCTCATAACTACATCCTTGATTTGATATTACCTTGACATCATGTGTTAATTTGATCATCTTTTCCTCACTCAAGCAGCTAGAGATGAGAAAGTTTTTATTTTTCAAATCAAGTATTACTAGATTCCCTCTAAAGGTGGCCTGGAAACCAGCCAGTTCTCTTTTTGAGTTCATTTCTTCTTGTGGCCTATTATCATATATGGCTAGTAAGAGCCCACTGACACTTTCAGTATTCTGCCTGGAGATCCTTTGGACATGATCAAAATTCCATTTGGTACATTTTCTATCTTCTACATTAGTACAGGCAACTGGCTGTTGGCTGATCAGGATGATCTTGGCTGGCTCAATTTGCTTCTCGACCAACTCCCCTTCAGTCTCCAGCAGGCCAGCCAAGGCCTGTTCTCCTGGCAATCAGAGACCAAAACAAAAACAAAAACAAGAACTTTTAAAATCAGCTCAATGCAACAATTTATCACTACTTCTCATAACTGTGTAGATGGGCCAGAATCACCTGGGCAGTTCTCACCTGGGGCCTCTCATGAGGTTGTAGTCATATGGTGGCTGGAGTTGAAGTCCTCTGAATGCTTGACTGGGCCTCTATCCAAGATGGCGTCTTCACTCACGTGCTCAGAGACTCACCTAGGACAACTGGAAGAATGGGGTCTGCTCAGCCTCATTCCAGTGGCTAGGTTAGTCTTCCACAACAACTCCAGTCTTAGAATAGCTGGAGTTCTTACACAGTAGCTGGCTTCTCCTGGAGTTTGCATTCTAAGAGCTATATATTACCTGAAAAGCTTTAGTAATTACTTATACCTTTACTTCTACACTGCATTTCTCATGTGGCAAGACACTGGCCATGAGTGGAGTGACGGGGCTCTCCTTGCCATCTAAAATGAAGGAACAAGTCTATCCACCGGTGGGTGGCAATTACAGGGTAACCACTCAGGTGCCTCGGAGCGTTGCAGTAGTCTCTGAATTGACTGTGTCTTCTGTACTGATGAGTGTGGGGTTCTGAAGTTGGGACTTCCTATTTTCAGAGTTTCTGGGACATTTGGCCAGCATTCTCATATGACATCAGAACATTTGACATCTTCTGTCTTCCTCTGCTATCAGAACAAATCCACTTGCCTTCTATCTTACCACAATGACACAATATTTCTGTCTTTGCTGGAGTTTCCCTGAAAGTAGAGCCTGTGATGAGAACTTGGGAACATTTATTTGGTAAGTGACCCCAAGAAGTAGAAGGGAGGGAGTGGGGAGAGCGAGACTGGTGAGGAGGAAAAGCTAAGAAGGGGACATTAAGTGAGCCACCACTGTGTGCAACTGTGCTCAGTTCCACCGGGACCTCCAGAGAGTCATAAGAAGTATTTCCTAGAACTGTCCATCCAAAGGATGGATGTTAATCCAGTCAGGCATTTATCCACAAGCTTCTGCCTAGTTGGGGGCTGCCCCTGCAGGGCTAACCATGCACTCAAGCGTAGGCAGAGAGAGCGAGCTGGCCTGGGAGAAGCCTTGGGGCAGAAGGCGGAAGGATTGATCCTGTGTCAAGATGCTGTCAGCTCAAGCAAGTCTGAGCTTGCACAGGACTGTCCTCTGTAGCTGTGGCCGGCAGGTGTGACGCAGGCCACTAGAGGCATCTGGTGCAGTTTCCAGTGACCACTTCTTTCTATTCAGGGGCAAAGGTTTTCATCTCAATTCTTGTTCTTGTAGCCCACAGGAGGCCATTTAGCCAGCTCATCACCAAACACTGAGGAGAGAGCCAGGAAATTCTCATCTTGATTCCACTCAATCACAGTCACTTTCCCCTTTGAGAAGAATAGTGTGTAGGAGTTAATTTTTTCTTTACTTTGAGGTACACACACTGTTTTCGGGAAGGCATTTATTTCTACATCACATTCTTCTCAGAGAAGGGTGCGTGATGTACAAAGAAGGCAAAGGAATAGCCCCACAGGCTCCAGGGAGTGAGATGAAAACTTGCTCGCTTATGGGGGGATCCTTGTTACTTGAACCCCAGCCGGCCTCTGGGGATCCTCTTTACACCCGGGGGTCTAGGGGAATTTACTCTGAAGCTGTCTTCCCATCTCCAGGCATATTCCACCAGCCAAAAGAGCCTACAACCCTCTCCCACTGTTCTCTCAGAATTCTGCCAATTCTTGGGAATTTCTGTTCTCCTAGGTCCACTGCCTCACAGGCTCCCGTGTTGTGGGATGTTTTATAACACATCAATCCCAATGAGAAACTCAAGCTGGCATTTCATTCCAGCAACAAATAATTGTTCACATTCAGCATGTGTGAATTTGGTGAATTTCACTAAAAGCTGGATAGAGCAGATCTCAAGAAGATGGTCTCACCCCACTTCATGCAGAATTCCAACACCTCACTGCTTCCTTCTCTCTCGCCCTTCCATCTTTTATCATCATGAGTAACTTTAAGAATGGCCTGGAAACTCAGAAACTTTCTGCTTCTGCTATGCAACTGTGCTCTCAGCAAACTTGTCCACCAAACACTGAAGTTCAATGGGCTTTCAAAAATGCTTCCCTGTGTACTTATGAAAGCTTTGTTTTGTTCTGTTTTTATTTCTTTATTTTTACTTTTTTATTTTTTGAAGTAGAGAACGTGTGTGCAAGCAGGGGAGGGGAAGAGGGACAGTCTTAATCATGCTCTATGGTCAGCATGGAGCACCACGTGGGGCTTGATCTCACAACCATGATTTCATGACCTGAGCCAAAATCAAGAGGTCTACGCTTAACTGACTGAGCCACCCAGTTCCCTGTTTTATTTTGTTTTTAGAAACAATGATAGTTCCCTAATTAAAAGAAGTTTGGTGCCACCTACTAAGATAATATTATCCTATTCATTTAATTAGTGATGTTCACTGATGTATTATTAGAAATTCTGTGCTACTCTCCGCACTTCCTTACAGGCTTATTTGCCACACTCCCTCCATCCTTTGCCTCCCCATGGCAGGCTTTCCCACCCAAAGTGTGACCTACAGGCTGTGGTATGAGCAGAAGCAACAGAAACCATTAATTAATTAATTATGAGGATTTACTGGAAGAATGCAAGGGTAGCTTATGGAATATAAGAAACTGGGGAAGCCCCTAGCTCCAGGAAGGCTGGGATCAGAGCTGCCCATAGCAGCATAAGTCTAGAGTTTCAGACCTATTTCTTTAAGTGTCTACCATTAATGTGACTCTGCTTGAAAGACTGCGAGTCCATATTTGTCTATGTTTCATATTTCACATTCCCAAGACAGAGACTCTGATGGGATTAGCATAGGTAAAACATCCACTTGTGGATCTATGAAAGATAGTTATGGGCAGAAGAAAGTGAAGGTTTGTGATAGAGACATGGCCTATTTCCACAGTGGGATCAGGGAGGTAACATGGGGAGGGTGAGACTATTGAACTAGAAAGCTCCCCCAACCCTGCCAGAAGGTCTGAGGTAGCCATTCATCGATAGTCTTTCTTGCACTCATATTGGTGGGTCCTCAGTTCTGATATCTCCACCTTGGGGATCCCAGACCTTCAGTCACTTGATATTGATGGAATTGATTTAAAAATTTTTTGAAATGTTTATTTATTTTTGAGAGACGGAGTGTGAGCAGGGAAGGGGCAGACAGAGTGGGAGACACAGAATCTGAAACAAGCTTCAGGCTTCAAGCTGTCAGCACAGAGCCCAATGCAGGGCTCCAACTCACAAGCTGTGAGATCATGACTTGAGCCAAAGTCAGATGCTTAACTGACTGAGCCACCCAGGAGCCCCATGGAATTGACTTTTTAAAGAGTATAAGCTGTGGACTCTGGGGAAATTTTATGCTTTAAGGCTTTGATGCCTGAGAAACATATTCCAACTTTTCCTATCACTGCCAGGGAAGCCATAATATAATTTTGGGGGTTGTATTTCATGGGTCTTGTCATCTTTATCTTCCCTGTGCTGTGAGGCCTGCTGCCCTCAACTTCACAAATGTGATCCTTTTATCTGTTGCATTTCTGATTTTTCTTGACTCTTCTTCCTCCTCTAATCATTTAATGCAGGCAGTCCCCCCTGCCCCCACTTGTATTATCCACCATCCCATCTTTTCTCAGGGTGAGAAAGACATTTTATAAAGAAATTTGGGGATGAAAACCATTTATCTTAAGCTTTGTAGGTATGACTTACACCGTATAGTTTTAAATATTTCCAAACAGAGCCTAGACATCTATTTCTTTAGAATTTTGTATTGTCATGGATTCTTTTAAAATTAAGCATCAGATTGTATGGTTAAATTTAGTGGTTTGAATAAAACAAATTATTTCTGCTTGTAGTGGTAAAGAAAAAAAAGAATAGAAAAGCATGGAGATTCTCAATCGATCAAATAGGTGATTCTAGTCTTGCTTATTTAGACTTTGGATCGTGACACTTCTTCCACCTACTGCAGAGGATCCCAATTGCTGGTTGAACATTATGATGTATGATTAATAATTGTTGGTGACATTTTTCAATTATTTTCTATCTGGTAAGCACTCTAGCGGCCTCTCTGTGTAACGTATTAGCTTTCTTGGGCTGCCATAACAAATGACCACAAACTTGATGGTTTCAAACAATAAAATTCTATTCTCTTCCAGTTCTGGAGGCCAGACGTCCAAAATCAAGGTGTTGACAGGGCCATGATCCCACCGAAGGCTCTAGGGGAGGATCCATCTGGTGGCTCCTGGCCATTCCTTTGCTTGTGACAGCTCAACGCCAACCTCTGACTTCATCTTCATGTGGTCTTCTTTCTGTCTCTCTGCCCTTTCTTCTTCTTAATCAGTCATTGGATTGAGGGTCCACCTTAATCCAGTATGAGCTCATCCTGAGCAATAACTAATTGCATTTGCAAAGACCCTGTTTCCAAATAAGATCACATTGTGAAGTTTTGAATGGACATGAATTTGGGAGGGGGCAGTATACAAGCCACTACACATAAGGATTATTACATAACACTGTTTCCATTTCATCATTGGAAAAGTTGAGATCCAGGAGGGGCAGCCACTTGCCTTGTTACTCTACTGCCCACTGGCAGAGCTAAGTTGTAGCCTCAGATAAGTCTGAGGCCAATTCCATGTTTTTTCTGCTATACCATGCTGCTTCTAGAAAACCAGTCTGCAAACTCAAGCCTAGAAAGTAATAGCATCAATGGTAGTCCAACAATTGGCCCCCAGATCATACCACTGGAGGCAAAAGGTCAGTGGGGTCTGTGAGAATTTGGTTTTCATTTTAGGTATGGAGTTAAGATCTAAGAGAATAATAAGCTCATCACTGTTTCATAAGGGGAAGCAATCCTTTCATGCACTGTAATTCTGTCCAACCACGATGTAACTAGTCAGCCATCACACGAGGGTGGGAATGTCAAGGACTTGAGTGGTCAAGTGATCCTGAGCAGGTCACTTTTCCAGGTCTCTGTAACAGAAGGGCCTAGCATTGGACAATGCTTTCACTGCAGATGTTTCTCAAGTGTATACAACGCACTTGTATAGTCACGGGGAGGTGTTCTTGCCCATATATGTTAATGTTTGCTGGAGTGTGGGCAAGGTAGTACAAAGAATGTACATTGACTTTTCACCTCAAAGTTAATAGTTAACGTAGTCTCCTTGTTTGACTCTGTTGCTTGTTAGCTTTGATCAGAA